GGTGATGATGGCAAATTAGTAACATATTATTTTCGTCAAATATTATTAACACGTTGCCAAAAAGAATTCGAAAGCGATTATAGAGAAGAAATTGAATATGAAAAGCGTAAAGCTGAAGTTGACTCTTTAACAGATGACAAAAAACGTAAAGAGGAAGGAGACAAATTAGAAGATGATCTTGTCAAAACTAAGCGAAGAAAATTAGGAAACATTGTGTAAGTATATTTTATCAATTTATAACTATTAGAAAATCAAAGGATATTTTCTCTAAGCAGCATCGCTGTCAAACTAGAAATACAATTATTGCTTCTATGTCAGCTGTTGAATGCAGAAAACTATCTCATAGTGTATTACATTTCAATGAAAAGCATTTATAAGAATTCGAAAGAAAAAGCTTTTTATAGCGTTTACAATAAGTTTTATCATTATCGAATATTGCATAACAATGATTTTTGATAATTATAACATTTTGTTTTCGTAGGGAAGTTTTCGTTCTATTTTAATCTCATTAACCTTTTCCTGTATTTTAGTTTTATTGGTGAACTATTTAAATTACAAATGTTAACTGATATAGTTATGTATGATTGTATAGAATATTTACTTCGTGATAAAAGTGATGAAGAAAACATTGAATGTTTGTGTTGTCTATTACGTACGATTGGAAAAGAACTTGATGACAAAGCTCTCGAAAAAGTAAGATTTTTTCTATTTGAATGTGATAAATGTTATTTTTGACTTTTATGAGATTGCCAAAAAAAACAATTTGGAAAAATATTATGGTGAATTAAATATTATTGTAAAAGAACAAAAAATATCTCCAAATATTTGTTGTATGATTCAAGATCTTATTGACTTAAGACACGTAAGTCGAACAGTTGAGATTCAATGAATAATAAATATGTTTATTTTAAATAAAGCTTTCGATAGAATCAGTTGCATTGTTAGAATTTAGTAATTTATACTATTTTGATGTTTCATTGTAATAACCAATAGTAACTACGAGTTTTTAATGTTGAGAACGAGTTACATATGAGATGTACATAAAGAAGGTTTTATTTTGCCTATTGTAATATGTATTATCAAGTTCTATTCTGTAGCATTTAATGTTGGTTACTAAGTGGTACCACCTGAAACATTCACAGTTTGATAAAAGTGAGTAAAGACGCAACAGCTTAAGATTACAGATTTATTTCGAAAATTATCGTTGGATAAAATTATTGAATAAATTAGCTTTCTAAAATATATAATCAATTAGGCTTTATGGGCTGCTCGTCGTGCTGACGCTAAGCCAACAACAATCGATGAAATTCATGAACAAGAACAACACCACGATCAAAGTCTTGCTACTCTTGTTGATACTGCCTACAGTGATGGTAATCAAAAGCAGAATAATGATGGACATGGTAGTCGTAGTAGTGGCATTAATCAGGAGTTGAATAGAAATGACGACGATAGAGTAGAAAATCGTTTCAGTGTTAATAGTTTAAGGCAATTACAACCCAATGATCAACGAAATCAAGGCCCATTTGTATGAAATGTTTTCATTTGCAGTTAGTTGATGATTAATATATTTTGTAGACAATGAAGTTAGCTCCACAGCGTCCGTGGTCGAAAGGATCAGGTATTGAAAAGAAGCCTGAAAAAGATCATTCATTTGGTGGACGGTAAGAAAACCAACTGAAATCTTATTTTCACAGTTCTCACAAGAATAGATATCGAAGAAAATAAATCTAATAAGAATGAATTTAATACATCTCTCCATCGATAACGAATTAGTGTGAATGTCATCCCATGAGTAAAGGCTATTGAATCGAATTTAACATTTTTTTATGGCTAATATTCATACCAAAGGAAATTCCCTGTTGCATTTTCTAACACCTGTGTAATCGGTTAATTGAGACAAAAAATAGAAAGCATCGTAGAAGTGATTTATTTCATATTTAGAACTGTTAAACCATTAAAGAGTCTTATGCAATGCCAATCATCACGTGTGAGTAAAAACCAAAAATTCCTCGGTAAATATTTATATTGTTTTCCATTTATTTATTTTCAGACATCAGCACGTGAAAATGCCTCACAATCATTACGTAAAACAATAACAGGTAGCGGAGTAAATAGTCCAGCAAATGTAACTGGTACATCATTCATGACGAATAATCGTGAACATTCGCGTAATATTAGTCATAAACAATCTTGCAATGAATCAGATGAACAATTGTTAAATACTAATTCATCAGTACAAGCAAATAAAGCATTCAATAAATCTACGACAATAATTAATCAAAACCCATTGAATATAACATTTGATGAAAGAAAAACCAGAGCTCGTGTATATTCGCTCATTGGAGAATACACAGAAAATTATTCAAATCTAACTGATCGACCGGTGAAAGTAAATATTAATGGATGATATATTATGAAGAAAAATCATTTAATTTTGAATTTATAGGAAGCATTAGAAGATTTAGCGACATTTTGTACGCGAAGCTTTGATCAACAAGCAATTATTGTTCGAGAATTATTCACTAATGCTTTCGAGGCTAAACCGCGAGCTCGTCGAGCTGTTGGACATTTACTTGATGCTGCGCATAATGAAAATCTTATTTGTGAAAAAGCCATTCTTGCTGGGTATGCATATTTACTACTTTAACTTCAATAAAACAAAATTCTTAAATTTAATTTTTCTCTTCTTAGCGTTGAAATGATTATTGAAGCTGCACCTGATTATAGGGTTGGCATTCCTCTAATTTGGCAATATATAGGTGAAATTCTTGGTAAGTGATAACTTTCTAAGGAACCTTTACCCTTGTGTTTGTTTAGGTGCATTCGTTGGCACTTCAACTTCAAATATGGCACTACTGAAACCAATTTTCGAATGTGCTCCTGACGATAAAGTGAAACAATTCTTTCAATTTATTATTCGATATGCAACAGAATTCTCAGTAGGATACTATTACTTAACTTGATAAAATTTCACTTGAACAAGGCTGGAGGGTGTCATTGATAGAAATGCACTAGTGATGTTTTTTTCAGAGTTTTGCTCTATCAGTTACGATAATTTTATATTTCTTCAGAACTGCAGAAGTCTTCATGTATAGGAATCCATGCTTTGAATAGGCTATTCTTTTGACGCTGTGTACTTATTTTGACACTGGTATCAAACGATTTTCTGTTTAGTCTCAGTCACGCATACAAAGTTTTTGGCAATCATCCGGTTTTTCTCTAAATGATTTAATTAAAGCTGATCTAATCGACTCTACATTTTCAAATGAATTTGACTGGTTATTTGATACACCTGAAGTCGAACAATCAACGTCACAAACCAAAGAAAACCATTCTCCGCATCCTGATCCACAGCTTGTTAAATTATTTAAATCTGTGAATGATCAAGGTACCACAATAACTGATCCAGAAATAATCACATATATTCGCGAGGTTTATATCTTTTTTCTCTTGTTTCAATTCAATCTTTATTTTGAAACTTATTTGAATAGCATATGGATCCAAGCGAAAAATTTTATATTCGAAATATTGTTTTATCTTATTTGGAAGCATGCTTAATTAATCGTGGTCTACAAAAGAAAATTCAAGAAGATATTGCGAAAAAACGAATGACTGTACTAAAAGAGATTATTGACCATAAATTAGAAGCAGAGATCCAAGCTGTTTATGCCATTCAAAATTTTGTCACTAAACTTGAACATCCACCAAGTAAGATTCAACGTCAATTATTCATCTGACATAAATAGCATTTTCTATTTCAATCAAATGCGCCTGTATTAGAGAGACGCTATTCTTAATCACTTTTAAGTTTGAATCGGTAATAGATTTTTATAAAAAAAAATTATCCTAAAACAGGTTCTGCTACCAACAATAATGGCTATACCTTTTATCCTATATTTCATCATGTTTATTGAGTATAGGCCCGATCGATCGAATTCGGAGTTCTCTCGAATCACAACAAAATAGAATTGAGATATTTGTACTTTTCAAATTATTTCCTTGTCAGCATCGCTCATTGAAATTTCCATAAGGGAGTTTTTTTTAAGTCAATAAAATACACTAAATCTTTCGAATGAAACGACAAAATTTTGTTCGTATTATAGAAATGGCTCGACTACTATTCGATATATTCTATGATGAAAAATGTGTGAGTGAAGATGCATTATTCGAATGGCTTAGAAATCCAGATCAATCAGAAACCGAAGGTAAATTAACAAAAAAAAGAAATAGTAAATTAGTAAGCTCTTTCGTGGTAGGACATTCTGCTGTCGAAATATCAACTAAAGACTTTTTTACTTGGTTAACACAAGCTGAAACAGAAGTTGAAGAAGGCGAAGAAGAATGGGAAAATTTAATTCTAGTATCTTAAAAACAATATACTAGAGCTTTTTTTCTGTTATGTAATATATATTTTATTTTCTAATACTATTTCTGTTATCAATGATGTTTCTTTTTATTTAAACAATATGCAAGGGTCTAAACATTTCTACTAAGCAAAATCAAAAGCAAAAAATAAAAATATGTAATAGTTAACTCAAAATAATACAAACCTCAGAGCCATATTCATTTGTGAAAGAGACAAAGTCTTTCGCATACTCATAAAAGTTCAGCGAGTTAGTGTTTATGAATACCTTGATTTGATGATAAATGGCTCGAACTTTCCTGATGCTGTCTACGTAGCGCTTCGTTATCTTGTATACTATTTGTGTCACGGATAAAATGAAATACGTTGCAATTGATTTCATTATTACTCATATTGAATCCCTGGTGGTTGTGATAGTATATTAACGGTCAAGGTATTTTTATATTTTTATTGAACATGTAATTATTCCTTTCTATGAGACTAACACATCCCTCCTTCCCCCGGTACTGTAGACTTGCCGTCAGAACTATTCCAAAATTACCTTATTTTATTGTTCTGAGAAATATCAAGTGCTAAAATATGTTTTATAACTTGTTTGTTTTAAGTTTACCACATCTGCTTTTCTGAAAAATCATTTAATTTCTAATTAATATTTACAATGAATCAAGTAGTAGTTTATCACCAATCAGAAAATTCTTCTGATAGGAATGCTAGTCCGAATTGTTTGAAAATCGCTTCGAATTAACTTCGAGCAAAACTCAAAACATATAATTACACATTTCAAATAGTGATGAAAAAGTCTTTGAAGTAATTAAAATAAACATTCGTAAGATTGTTGTTGATACTCGTTTGATAGTGCAATTTTAGGGATGTGCATATTAAGTAGAAGACGATCGGCACTCAGTGAGATTTCACCAATAGCCATATCGATTTACTTGCGATAGAAAGATAGGCGGATGATACGGCACATCATACACTTTGTAGTGAGTCATTATTATTTATGACTTGTATTTCACATCAAAACAAAATTCGAGATGAAGAAGATGAAATGTGAAATGAGATCGATTGACACCGAACGTTTACTTATCTGTTGAAGGAATCGTTAAATTGTTTGAAAGAAAAATAGAAAGATAAAACTTTGGAAAAGCAATAGTGTGTCTTCTGGACGAAAATCTTAGTCATAATTGTGGGCATTTGAATAAGATGAATTTTTTTCAGGAATTATAAAGTCATGGGGAAATCCTTTATCTTAAATTAATATTGTTTTGATCGGTACTCAAGTATATTGAAAGGATGAAAAAATATGATAAAAAGGGTAAAATATTGCAAATAATGTATTTGAGAAAATATCGAATATAAATGAATTTTTCATCGATTCTATGAGATAAAAACAACAAAATTAAAGCGTGTCGTACAACAGAAGACAGTATATTAATGATTGAATAATGGCAAAACAAAAAAATTAGAATAATATTTCAAATTACATGTCACCATCACACGGTATATAAAATGTGTCTTGATGATGTAGTGTAGACATGGCAGATTCATATGCCTCATCAAGATCAATATGAAAAAGAGGTCGATTGATGTCAAGTATGGGAACAAGGACAACGTCTGATTCATTTTCACCTCGATCAAGATCAATATGGACGTTGGCTACAGAAAACACTGTGTGAACCTGATCAGATGATCCAAAACCAGCTGAAATAAGCGTACGTTTTATCCAAGGGTTCGATAAGCCAACAAAATGCCAGTTAATTGTCTTATCAGCATAGCAATCTAATTGACGACGAACATCAACCAGATTTTCAAGAGCAGTTATATCCAAATGAGCGACACCAGTGAAATCTAGAATTAAAGCATGTAAGTGTGGACGTCGATCATCCTGCTCTTGACCGGCTTGTCGACGGCGACGATTAGTCTTTAAATTCCACGGTTGCTCACCAAGTGACCTATACACATTAGATTTGCCTGGCTTAGTTTCTTGAAGAACGTGTTCGACTAAACATTCTACATAATGATTAGCATTTGGATACAGAAAACTTTGATTTAATCGATAGATAAATATGCCATTACCAAGCGATACTGGAATAATCGTCGGATTTGTACCATCGGAATGATTTAGGGGTACATAGATATTTCGATTTGTTATGTGAGTACTGCCAGTAGGTGTTAGTTTCACTTGCCGAATTTGAATTCGACCAACAAATTCACCACGTGCTCTTGCTATACGAAATAGTAGTAGAGAACCTGAACAAATAACCGTCGCATAAATTCCGATTTCAATCGTAGAAAATATTGTAACAATAACTCCAATCCAAAAGATAAAAAACTCAACGGGGCTAGCTTGCCAAAAACCTTTCAAAGTTTTTGGTCCAATAATTAAATCACCAACACCATGTATGATTACAGCAGCTAGACATGCTTTTGAAATCCAATAGAACATCGATGTTAACGTATAAATACCTAAAATAATCAATAGTCCACTAAATAAGCCTGCTAAAGGTGTTCGTACACCTGCTTTCGACTTGATAGCTGTGCGTGAAAATCCACCTGTTGCAGGATAAGCACCAAAAAAAGGCCCAAAAATATTTGTTACACCGATAGCAATCAATTCTTGATTAGCATCTATAGCATAATTATTAATTCGACCGAATGATTTAGCGATGGGGATATGTTCAATAACAAGAACAATAACTGTCGTAGGTATAGACGATGCAAAAGCACTTAATAGTGTTCGATCAATGTGTGGTATACCTATATTTTGAAAGCCGCGTGGAATTTGACCGAGTATAGATGTGCGTGGATGCTCGGAATCATGACGATTGATTAGCCACGAAATGAAAAGAAAGAGAAGAATCACAAATACAACACGTAGTGTGCTAATAAAGAAAAAGATTTTTTCTCGTTTTGGAAAACGTCGGCTAGCACGAATACAAATAAAGCGTATTGAATAAAGTAAAACGAGTGATGTTAAACCAAGTGCGGCATTCAGATTACAATGCTTTATTTGTTTCCAAAATTGTACAAAAACTAAATAGGCCGATTCACGTGTATTCATATATTTATTGCTGCCCATCATTACGGGTATTTGTCCCATAAGGATATTCAATGCTGAACCAGTCATAAATGCTGCTAAAGCTGGTAATGGAATAAAATCAACGATAAAACCAAGACGAAATATTCCGAGAGCAGAAATAATACAACCAGAAATAAGAGCTAAAGCCGATGCAATAACATGTGCTTCATATTCCGGATGATCTCTACGTACACCATCAACAACACTACCCGTTAATACTGATACGACTGCTACGGGTCCAATACTAATATCCTAAAAAAAAAAGTGAGGATCAGTACGGTACGAGAAAAATGAAAGTTGTACTCAATCGTTTTTGTTTTCTTACAAAATTATATTTACCTTGCTCGTAGCAAAAAACCAATAGATCATTACGCCAATAAATGAACTATACAAACCGAATTGAGGCGCCAATTTAGCTAGTCCAGCATATGCCATGCCTTGCGGAATAACGATAGCGCCGACTGTCAACCCGGCTATAAGATCACCCGAAAACCATGCTAGATTATATCGAGAAATCCAATCGAGAAATGGTAAATAGGCTAGGAAGTAATCTTTAATTGTTTGTTTTGGAATATTGATCTTTTTCTTAAGCCAATGTTTGACTGTTGGATACGGTTCGAAATATTCATGATCAGTAACAAGTTTCATTCGACTTATGGATGTGGATGATGACATTGTCACTGTCGGCAGTGGAGTAAGAGTTAATACCTCTTTTGTCTGTTCCGTCATAAGTTATATATATATACAACCAGATTCGAATGCACAAGATCGTCAAAGTATTATGTTGCATCTCTCTGAAAAAGATCATAAATTTTGATATATGTCACAATGAATATAGCTATATATTTTTTCGCGAATGAAGTAATAATTTCATCGTCGACTCGTCAATGTGCAGCATATCTGTACATTACCAGTAAGTTAAAATCAAATATTTCTCATTATCAGTGAAGAACTGTAAAGAAAATATGTGTCGAACTATGCCAATGAATTTCGAACAATAGAAGCTATAGACATTTATTAAAAAGCGAGAGATAAAATGAAAAGATCACCAGAATAGAAGTAATCGCCAGTATTTAATCTACAAAATGGCACATGCCTGCTGATAAAAATATTGCATGAGTAAATGTCGAAAGTAACCATTGAATTAGTTAAAACAGTGCGTGCTGAATTTATCCTCTTTAAACGAACTGGCTGTTTGAAGAAAATGATATTCTTTTAATGCTTAGGTGAAATAAAATCGTTTGCTTCAGCTGAAAAAAGAAATTACCTACAAATATTTAGATCAATGAGAACTCTTGAAAAATCAGAAATTAAAATTTCTAGTTTGTATGCAGTGCATTCTAGTTTATAGTAGTTTCTCTGGGTAGGTGGCTACTATTTTACACAATAAATCTTCATAGTTAATCTGCTAAAAGAGATCGGATTTAATTAAAACTTATTTCTTCGTTCGTTTTCTGACTGATAGAAATAATCTTTGAAATGGATGAATTTTAAAAAAATTTGTTTCTCTAATATGTTCGAATGTAGAATTTGTAATCACACAAATGATCGAGCGGACATTTTCGAATCGATATTTTTTCATATGAACCATCCATATAAGCACTGAAAAGAAAAAATACTTTGAGCTAATTTGGTTGCAGATAGTTTTCTACGATGCAATGGTAATAATAAATAATTATCTACGAGATATGTCTAAAACTTGTGAATTTTTCTATAAAAAAAAGTGAATTGAAAAAAGCATATTGTGAACTTTTACGCGAATTATTTTTATTTTGTTGAAGCTCTTGCTTTTAAATTGAAATCATTTTCAGTAAAAATCTGATTTTTCATCATCATCATCTTGGAATTTAATTTTAATTACTTGGCGGAGACGTTTTTGTATCATCTAAAATTTTAATAGTACTATTACAAACATTGCCATTGTCATCTTCAACTTAGTTGCTATCTTTACTTAAGAGTGTGGATGTGCTTATCGGTATAGATGAAGCTAAAACTCACACCCTCGATTAAATATATATGCATCTTAATTTCTACTAATCGCTTGCGTTTGAGATAAACTGTAACTTGCTTATATGTAACTTTTTTTCCAAATGTCACAGAAATATCATAATACACTGAAATTACAAAAAAAATCCTTTATTCTTCGAGTTTGTCGGGCTCGAAAATGTCATCTTTAATATCGATGTCGAAGTGACATTTGTAGAGTGTATACTTAACGGTAAGTTGCAACAAACTAAATGTATACTCCACAGTTATATCGTGCATTCAGTTTATATAGATTTTCAATCATATTTTTATCTTTGCATGTATTTCTTATATCATCAGACGACTTGAGCAATAGATGACCCTCATTTTAAATAAAATATTGACTAGAATTCTCGTATTGGCGATCTATTATAAGGTCTTGTGAAAGCTGTAGGCTAGACGAATTTCTACTACTCGCTAAAGCATTTGGTTTCTTTCAAGCACAATTTACTTTTGTTGTTTTTTTAATAAAAACAAATTATGCCTGCACTCGCAGGATTTATCTTCGATAGCTCATGGCAAATCCTATGCATTCACAGCGTTACTATTTTGTTGGATATTGTGTTTTATTATGGTACCTAGTAATAATGCATATGATGGACTTGAAACACGGAAAGGCAGAATATATGGCCGACAAACTGAGCATTCAATGGAATATTTAGGGTGAGCTCAGAGGAATGCTTTCGTTTAACGATAGATAATACAGAAGTTGAAGATCTTTACACTGTCATTGGCCGAAATGCGAACTATTACATGTACTAGGATCCATAAAGAAAGCGTAATGTGTCACTGGATATGAGAATCAACTGAAAAAAAGAATAAAGAGTAACAGTTTATTGATAATAATAGCGAAATATAACAAATAATGCATAATACTACATTTTAGTTGTATTCATAGAGTTGAGAAAAGTTTTTATGGTTGCATTCAGAAGAAGAAATCTTTCATAACGATTCTTGTCAATTTTTAAACGTCTAATACAAAAAATTATTTCTTATGGCTAACGTAGATTTTGCTTCTAATTTCGAATCTAAATGTACAATTTCATAGAATTCAATATGCTACGACAAATCGATGGCAACCACCGATGGATCTTGCCTCTGAACTATTTTCAAATCGTTCATTGGAAGCAACTTCATTTGGTCCATGTTGTCCTCAGCGAGATACTGGAATATATATACCTAAACAAGATGAACAATGTCTTTATTTAAATATATTTACACCATTAAAGATATCACACGAATCTTTACTGGCAGTTCTTGTTTGGATTCATGATGGTGGTCTCACCAGTGGCTGCTCAACTCAAAGTATTCCGCTACTATACAATGGTACAAATATAATTCGACATTCACTTCAACAACCAGTCATTATTGTAACAATTAACTATAGATTGGGTATATTTGCTGAAATGTACCTGACTGAATTAATTGAAGAAAATTCTGAATGGCCTACAGCAGGAAATTATAACTATTTAGATATTTTATCAGCATTACGTTGGATCAATCGTAATATTCATGATTATGGTGGTGATCCAAACAATATTTTACTATTTGGAGAAAGTTCGGGAGGACGAACTGTTGTTGATGTGGGTGCATTAAAAGGATCTTCAAATATCTATCATCATATTATATCACAATCGGGTGCATTGGCTACTTCACTGTTCTATTCAAAAATGAGTTTTGCTCTGCAAAAATCAAATGAAATTGTTGAACAACTTAACTGTTCGAACCATGAGAGTGCATCATTCCTCACATGTCTACGTAATACTGATACTAATGATTTACTAATGGTTTATGGTAATCGTCCATTGAAATCGGTTATTGATGGTTATTTTTTCTCGTATTATCCATCACTAGCTATTCAAATGGGAACATACAATGAAAACATAAATATGATAATGGGTGCCAGTAAGTATGAAGAACCGTATTATCCAATATATCCTGATATGAACTCTGAATTTGCTATATTCATAATAACTGAGGTTCCCTGGACGAAACCGAGCAGCTACAGTTATAAATTATTTCGAATTAAATAACTGTTCATCAAGTGTAAATGATACAAATCGTTGCTGTGATATAACTCGATTTATTATAAATGCTTTTATTAGTTGTGGTTTTCATCGCGTATACAAAAATATCTATTTGAAATATGATACAGAAGATCATAATTTGTTTTGGTATACTATGGATTGTAATTCAGGAATATGTCCTAAACTATCGAAAGAAGAAGGTGCTGGTCTTTGCCTGCATGCATCCGAACTTCCATTCGTATTTGGCACTGAAAGTGATTATCGATCGATGAATCCAATTAATTGCACATGGGATAATCAAACACGAATATATTCAAATAAAATTATTTCACATTGGACAAATATGGCTGCATATGGAAAGCCATTAGAACTGTGAAAGAAATATCACCCATCAGCACCAAAATTCTTACAGCTCATGCCATATCATGAATTTTCTATGGAATCATGGAATAGTGATTGTTCAATTTTTGATAAAATTGAGCAAGATGATCTTTTCGAAATGTTCGGTAGTAATATTTAATAGGCATATGAAATTATAGAACTTACATTGTTTGATTGTACTGTTTTGTAACAAGAAAATCTCAATATTTTTCTTGATAGCCCTTACAGTTACAGGATGAGATATATACCGATCCTCCATAAATTGAAAATTCAATGAATTTGAGGAAACCAAGTGGAATTCAGTGCTTGGAGCACCAACATTTTAGTTTTAAGTCTTCGTCTTTGTAATTCCATCAATGGGGCTACGTGTTACAAATTTTCTGCTCATCTGATCGTGGAAGGCCTTGAATTTCTAATTGATTGATCCCAGGTCGACTAATCCGACAACGAATCCTATAGGAACTTGATAATATCCTGCCATCCGATACAATTCTATTGGATTCCGGGTCGAGGAATCGATGTTGGCTCCGCCAGTCGGATTCCGTGGAACTTCCGAGGACATCCAACTGTCAGATCCGATGAAGATTCCGTTAATTGGATTCTAATTTGGTATCTATATAATCTGATGAATATCCAATAGTGTTCTATTATTGTCATCTACACAAATTCCAATAATCGGACTGAAAATTGGCATTTAGAAGATCTATACACTTCGGTGGGTTATCAATGAGCCTGGTTCTTTGCACAAAGTATTTCTTTCCTTCAATAAACGAGAATATTTGACACAGAAAACTGTTATTAGAATCAATATTTTATTTTTATTTTCCTTTTGTTATCTTGTTTTAAGACTGGCACGTTATGTGCAACGGAACATATCATCACGATAAACGAAGTCTGACAAAGGTAATTAACTAATACATTAAGAGAATGAGAAATTAATTTTTTCCACTTCGTATAAGTGGATATATCTTTGATATAGCGCATCGAAGAAGCCTCATTGCTAGTAAGTTGTTTTTGTTCCTTCATAGAAAAAACTTTATGTATCATCATTTTCATGAAATCTCTCTTTATGATGGTTAACAAATGATAATATATTACAACTTATAAGCGACCAAAAAATTTCCTTCTAGATTGGAGTAACGATAGGTTGAAGAAATTAATGCGAATTTTTCGAAAAAGTGTTAACTTCACACGTAACTATGCACTTTTTCTTAGACGTATGCCTTTATACAGGAAGAGCGTAAGATAAATAGGCCTTAGTAAATAATTGCAGTTATGAAGAATATCCAATATTAATCCTTGTTTAGCTTTTAAAAAATTAGGTTAAACTGTTCTTATTTGAGTAATTCCTAATTTTAGTCACGGCTTTGTATTAATAAGAAAATTTTTATAATGAAACATTTTCTTCTATTAAAATTCTTTTAGAAAGAGAAGTTATCATTGTATAAGATTAGCCACGTAAATTATGTTGCTATCAATGTGTTAATTGTGGCTTTATTATTTAAGTCTATGCAAGGTTAATTAGCTCATCTAAAAAGACAATAGAGTCACTTTTAGCTTTCGTTCGTAAATGTAATATTAAGTTCCAACGAATATATGAATAGAAATACTGCATCAGGAGTTCTTTTGCCAGTCGATTAGAAATATTACGTACGAATAGTTCGGCCAAAAGAATCATGTGCAAGAAGGCATCGTAAACGAAAAATGCATAAGATGAATTTTCTCAAGTTGTGCATTCGTGCGTGTTATGAAAGTCACAGCAAAAATACTTTATATGATGATCGGGAGAATACTTATCATTCATTACATCTTCATAAGAAAAGCATTTTTACACTTATAATCATTTCGTCTTCTACTCACTACAATATTATGGTAGATAATTATATCAACAAGTCAAAAACAATCCACCAAACGAAAATATTCGAAAATGCTTTACTTTTAGAATGAAACACAAAAACAAACAGTACTTCATGCTTATTATGTCGTCTGAGAGCGCCCTCTGATCAATATTCTTTTTTTATACTTAACCAGAGGACGTGATTTTTGCGGTAACAGAAGCAGAAATGAATATACGATTGATCTCAGATATTTCGCATTCATGAATATGCTCATCATAATAAGAAAATACGGGGAATTTTTTACATTAAAAATGCCGAAAAATATATATGCAAAGTATTATATAATTGATGTTCCAACTCTATGCTTTCGATTATTACTTTGTTATTTCAATTGCGTTAGCGATCCGAGTATTCGAATATAAGGAATGTTATTCGTCATACATATCTGAAGTGTGAACACACTATACGCATGATATATGTAAATATTGCGCAATATCTTGTTATTATAAATCAATCAATAAGTCTATATTGAGGATGCCTCATCGACTAATTAAACACTTTCTTTGCAGTACTTTTCGAAGATCAGGTTATTTGAGATTTTGTAGCAACCTATTGTTGAGCTGAAGCTTAAGACTCTTCTTTTTTGCTAATTTAATTCGTTTTGAAATCATACTCTGTTATTTATTTTACATTCTTATAATCAGTTTCACCATATATTTTTGTTCCATACATATCATTGATTCAACCAATAGATTAAATTCATCTTTTAGTTTTCATGTTAACGTCCCAATCAAGCTGAGTATTTATCATCCGATACTAACATACACATCAATAAGCATTTATTGTTGAGTATCGGTTTAAATAACTCATACATTTATTAGGATTTGATTTCTAAAATTACGAGATAACAGTATCTGAAATAAAAGCTATATCTACTGCTAATAATATAGGTATTTCCCAACAGCACCCACACAATCGAGCTTTCACTCAGATTATCTGTTCTGTCACTAAAACAAGATGCGCATTCACGTTTTTTATTCATGACACATAATAACTTCGTAAGAGAATTAAAACAAATGGTATCAACGTGCAGTGATTCGAATAATAACAAAGTCAAAATCTATGGCGTCGACAGAATTTCTTGAAAAATTAATTCTTCGACTTTAATCCAATATATGACACCAAAGCATCCCATTCTAGGATGTAGGGTGTGTTAATCAAAAGGTATAAACTAAAACCCAAATCATCATGGCCATCATAATTAGATTCATCATAACAAAATCCTCCTCCTCATCATCATTCTAGCGCAATAATTTAAAGCCTTGCTCATGGATGATCATCATCGTGACTGTCGTCACATCATAGTCTGCATCAGTTTCATCCAATCAAAATCATTACCGTCAGTATTATTCTAGCGAGAATAATGTAAAATCTGCCTCATGAATAGTCATCACCATCATCGTCAGATTCATTCCATCAAAATCATTATCGTCACCATTGTTCTAGCGGCAATAATTAAAAGATTTAGCTGTCGCAAAATCATCAGCATCAGTCTCAGATTGATCACATCAAAATCATCATCATCACCACTGTTCTAGCGCAATAATTTAAAGTCTTGCTCATGGATTATCATCATCATAACTGTCATCACATCAAAATCATTTTCGTCCCAAAGTTCTAGCGGCAATGATTTAAAATCTTGCTCTTGGATTATTATGAGCATCATCCTTAGGTTCATCACACCAAAATCATTTGCGTCACCACTGTTCTAGCGGCATTAACTTAAAGCCTTGCTCATGAATGATCATCGTCATGACTGTCATGACATCATATTCTGCATCAGTTTCATCCGATCAAAATCATTACCGTCAGCATTATTCTAGCGAGAATAATGTAAAATCTGCCTCATGGATAGTCATCATCATCATCGTCACATTCATCCCATCAAAATCATTATCGTCGTGATTATTCTAGCGGCAATAATTTAAAATCTGGCTCATAGATTATTAACATCATCACTGTCATCACATCATATTCAGTGTCAGATTCATCACATCAAAATAATTTTCGCCACCACTGTTCCAGCGGCAATAATTCAAAGTTTTCCTCGTGGATTATCATTATCATCACTGTCATCACATCGTATTCAGTGTCAGATTCATCACATCAAAATCATTTTCGTCACCACTGTTCCAGCGGCAATAATTCAAAGTCTTCCTCATGGATTATCATCATCATCACTGTCATCACATCAAAATCATTTTCGTCAGCACTGTTCTAGTGGCATTAATTTAAAGTCTTGCTCATGGATGATCATCATCATCACTGTCATCACATCATAGTCACGACCAGATTCATTGCATCAAAATCATTATCGTCCCAATTTTCTAGGGACAATAGTTTAAAATCTTGCTCTTGGATTATTATCAGCATCATCCTTAGGTTCATCGCGTCAAAATCATTTTCGTCAGCACTGTTCTAGTGGCATTAATTTAAAGTCTTGCTCATGGATGATCATCATCATGGCTGTCATCACATCATAGTCTGCATCAGAATCATCACATCAAAATCATCATCGTCATCATGTTTTTAGAGGTAACCTAGGTCGGTGAATCATATTGTAAGCTGTGATAAGATGTTCCATCTGATCTTTTGTGATGTTGCACGATTACACGAAAATTAGACGAAAAATCGTTGTCTCTGAGAGCGTATATCAAGTCGCAGAGCACATTCTCGAAAGAGCTTATACATTAATAAGATCTTTCAAGAGTGGGACTGTGCGACTTGATATAAGATCTGAGGGAGTACGGTTTTTTGTGTGATTTTTTTTATGATCTTGTCTGATCTGACAAGGTCAGATTCAGATTCTTATCAGATCTTGGTATCTGATTGTTTGTCCTGGGTAATCATCACCATCAGAGTCATCATCAGAGTCATGATCAGAGTGGTCACATAAAAATCATTATCGTCATCGTTATTGTACCCAGGTCGAACAATCTTGCATTAAGATCAGATATGAATTCTTGTATGATCATATCCGATCTTAATCAAGAATCGTATATGAGCATACAAGATCATACGGAAAATCATACGAAAAATCGTCGTCTCTGCGATCTGATGTCAGATCATACGGTAAGCTTCGTATAATAAATATAAT